ACTAAAAAAAAATAGAAAAAATTAGCCAGGTATGATGGTGCATGCCTGTAATCCCAGCTACCTGGGAGGCTAAGGCAGGAGGATTGCTTGAGTCCAGGCCAGGAGTTTGAGGTTGCTATGAGTGAGGCTGACGCCATAGCACTCACTCTAGCCCTGGCAACAAAGTGAGTCTCTGTCTCAAAATAAATAAATAAATACATAAAACCTTTAGTTTGGTACAGGTTAAAAAAATTTAAGTAATTATTTCATATTTCATATTTAGCCTATTCATTTTTTTCTTTTGCACCTGATCCTCATTTAGCACCAATACAGGGGTTATATTTTTCCTCACCAACCCATCATATTTCACTCTCTAGTCCAGTGTTTTGTTTTATTGTTTTTTAGATTTCTTTTGATTCTAGAGAAACATGATCAATTTCAATCTGAGTCTCAGGCCTATCATACTTGTAACTTTTGATTGAAATGGTTTTTAAAGTAATAATAGAAATTAACATTTATTGGATAAAGAAATACATCAGGTACTATGTTATGTAGTTTCGTATATTGTCTCATTTAATTTTCATAACACTTAGGTTAAGTAGTATAACAATCATAACAATCCCCATCTTCCAGGTAAGGAAGTTAAGGCTTTGAGATGTTAAGTGACTATTTCAGATATATGACTAGTAACTGATAGAACAGGGATTTGAACTTAGGCAATTTGAATACAAATCCCACATTCTTAAAAACTATCTTATAGTCTTCTACTTAGAGTGTAAGGTTACTAGTATTATTATCCCACGTTTACATAAAGCAAGGCATAGACAAGAACATAGTGATTTCACTCTTTAATTATCTCCAGCGTATAAAATCTAATTAGATTCTGGATATTGACTTCATATCCAGCAAAAATACCAAATTACATTAATTCTAACAATTTTCCGTATGTTATTTTGATTTTTCTACAAACATTATCCTATCTTCTGAATAATGAAATTTCATTACTTCCTTTCCAATCTTTACACCTTTTATTACTATTTCTTTGCTAGCCTTACTGCGCTGACTGGGACCTTGAATACAATGTCAAATAGAGAGGGTGAAAGCAGCCCGTTTTGCTCCTTTCTCACAAGGCAAGCTTTCAATTTATCATTTTGTTTGATGTTTGTTGTAGGTTATGTAAAATAGTTATCTTTTGCCTGCTTAAGAAATTTCCTTTCTCAACCTAGTTTAGTAAGAATTTTTTTTTTTTTTTTTTTGAGACAGGGTCTCACTATGTTGCCCAGGGGCTGGTCTTCAACCTCGGACTCAAGGGATACTCCTGTCTCAGCCTCCTGAGTAGCTGAGAATCAGGTGCATGCCACCACGCCTGCCTAATTTTTCTATTTTTAGTTGTCTGGCTAATTTTTTTCTATTTTGGTAGAGACAGGAGATCTCACTCTTGCTGAGGCTGGTCTCGAACTCCTAACCTCAAGTGATCCTCCTGCCTGGGCCTCCCAGACTGCTAGGATTACAGGCATGAGCATCATGCTCGGCCCTAATACATACATTTTTTTCAGCATATTACGGGGGTACAAATGTTAACGTTATATATATTGTCCTTGCCCCACATCCCCCCTCAAGTCAGAGCTTCAAGCGTGTCCATCCCCCAGTTGGTGCACATCACATTCATTATGTATGTATACACCAATCCCCTCCCCTCCACCTGCCCGACACCTGATAAATATTATTCCTATATGTCCACTTAGGTGTTGATCATAGCAATTTGCTGGTGAGTACATGTGGTGCTTATTTTTCCATTTTTGTGATACTTCACTTAGTAGAATGGGTTCCAGCTCTATCCAGGAAAGTACAAGAGGTGCTATATCACTGTTGTTTCTTATAGCTGAATAGTACTCCATGGTATACATATACCACATTTTATTAATCCACTCATATATTGATGGGCACTTTGGTTGTTTCCACATCTTTGCAAATGTGAATTGTGGTGCTATAAACATTCGAGTGCAGGTGTCTTTTTTATAGAGTGACTTTTGTTCTTTTGGGTAGATGCCCAAGAATGGGATTGCTGGATCAAATGGTAGATCTACTTGTATCGCTTTAAGGTATCTCCATGTTGCTTTCCACAGAGGTTGAACTGGTTTGCAGTCCCTCCAGCAATGTAGGAGTGTTCCTATCTCTCTACATCCATGCCAACATTTATCGCTGGGACTTGTTAATAAAAGCCATTCTCACTGGAGACAAGTGATATCTCATTGTGGTTTTGATTTGCATTATACTTTTAAATCTATAAATTTCCTGATAAGTTTTACTTTAGCTGCATATCTCAAGTTTTATGTTATATTTTCATTGTCATTCAGTTCAAATTTTTTCTAAATTCCATTATGATTTCTGTTTTGACTCTGAGGTTAAGAAATGAATTGAATTCCCAAACACACGAGAATTTCTAGTTATACTTTTGTTATTGATTTCTAGCTTAATTGCACTGTTGTCAGAGAATATACTCTAAATGAAATTTATTTAGATAAGCTTTTATGATCCAGCATCTGGTCAATTTTTGTCAATGTTCCAGATATATTTCAAAAGAATGTTTATTTTCCAACTTGGGGGTACATTATTCTATATAAGTATATTAAGTCAAGTTTGATAATCCCTAATGCTTTTCTAGAAGAATTATTTTTTCTGCCTCTGAACTCTAATTACATTCTCTCTTCTACTTCCTTCCTTACAAAGAAATGTCAAGTTCTCCATGATTCTGATCCTTCTTTCCATGCCTCAAAGCCACCAGCTTTGGATACTCAACCTTAGGTTTTCAAATAGTGAAAAAGCCATTTAATAGCTGATTAATATTTGGCACTTTATTTTAACCTCTCTCAGGCTCAATTTTCTCATCTGTAAATGGGGACTGGAGGATTTATTGGGGATTAAAAACCCTCAATAAAAGTACTATTTTCATTATTATCAATTAATTAATAACTTACATAGTACTAGCATATAATAGGCAAGATGAATGGTAATTATTATAATGATTAACATTTTTATATTTATTTATGTCCATGATTCCAATACCTTTGTCTTTCCAGGTTACAGTTAACACATATTAAATTCTGCTGGCTATCATAAGATTGAATAGGCCCTCATATGCACATAACTTTTGTCAAAGAGTATAATATATTCATTTAGGGAAAGAAAAAAAGGTGCCACAAATACCACTGAATAAATCACCATTTCAGAATACTTTTGCCATATTTTGTCAGTATTTTTGCTTTTTCACATAATCATCCAATAAGGTAGTGCCATGGTCACTAAGATTAGTGACTATCAGAAGAAAATGAATTCCATATTGAGACTCTACATGAATTAAAAACAAAACAATGTTCACTGAACATCTTTAGTGTGCAGGCACTACACCAGAAGCTTTCGTGTATCTCATTTAATCTCACAAAAACCCTTTAAGATAGTTATTATTATTTCTACTTAATAGAGGAACTGAGGTTTAGGAGATTAAATAGACTTGCCCAAGTTCACATAGGGTGGAGACACATGCAGAGCATGGGTGTATGAGCAGGTGTATACCAGCAGGTATAACAGCCATCAAGGCTGGAACTAAATTTCCTCCAAAGGCCCAATGCAACCTCTAGGTCTCTCTTGTGATTCCTGTCTCTTTTCCCACAGTGTTTCTCATTTCCACTCTATTCTTCCATCCATTGCCCACACTAAGTTATTAGCCACAGGGATAGCTAACGCAATATTGATCTTAGTCTGTGGCTGGATTCCCAAGACAGTGGGAAAGAGTTAGACTCTAGTTACCTGCAGAGAATTTGCCATCGGCTCCACAAATCACAATGGCTTTTACCGTATGGTCTTTTATAGCTTTTTGCAGTCCCTCTTTTATTCTGTGGACTACAGCTGCACTAAAAGAAGAAGAAGAAGAAAATTACATGAAGCAAATTAGTAAGAATGAAATTCCTACTATATCAGAGTTGTTTCCTTTCCTAACAATGAAAAATTAAACACACACATAATGGATAAAAACTGCTGATACTTATCATTAAAGCTTTCACTAATTTTTTCAATACATAATATATGCATCTATTGTGAATTAAGCACTGAATTAAACGAATACACTTTTTTAAAAAATTATTTTTTTACACCATGCTTTAACTTTGACCACTTAGAATCAGCACTAACCAATTTAAAAATATTATTATACATCTTCTACGCACAGCACAAGAAGTTACCTGATAAAGACAATTTATCATGTAAGGCACACTAAGATGAATGCTGTAATAAAGGTACAAATAAAATGATGCTTCTGGCCGGACGCTGTGGCTCACGCCTGTAATCCTAGCTCTTGGGAGGCCGAGGCGGGCGGATTGCTCAAAGTCAGGAGTTCAAAACCAGCCTGAGCAAGAGCGAGACCCCATCTCTACTATAAATAGAAAGAAATTAATTGGCCAACTGATATATATATAAAAAATTAGCCGGGCATGGTGGCACATGCCTGTAGTCCCAGCTACTTGGGAGGCTGAGGCAGAAGGATCACTCAAGCCCAGGATTTTGAGGTTGCTGTGAGCTAGGCTGACGCCACGGCACTCACTCTAGCCTGGACAACAAAGCAAGACTCTGTCTCAAAAAAAAAAAAAAAAAAAATGATGCTTCTATAACGTTTGTGTAAAATTGGACTTGTGTAAAGGTCAGAGGGGGATGAAGTTACTTCCAATTTGTCATATAAGAAAACTAAAGGAGAAATTATCTAAGAGAAGTGGCAGGGGCTGCTAGTTACCTCAAATAGTCATTCCTCTCTACCTTCTTCTAAGTATTAAAACATCCAGTTTTTAGCTGGATTTATGGTTGCCCAAAATAAAGACTAAATTTTCCAACCTACTTTGTAGGAAAGTCTACAGAGGCACTAAGTTCTGGCCAATGGGATGGAAGCATATTTGGTACATGCAACTTTTGGAAAGAGTCCTTAAAGGATTGAGCGTGCTTTTCTCCTTATCTTTCCTTCTTATCCCTGGCAGGTATGCAGATGTGATGGCTAGATCAAGCAGCCATCTTGGGCCAAGAGGTAGTAGAAACCATGAATTGAAGATGGCAGAGCAAAAGATAGAATTGAGGTCTCTGATGATTGTGGAGCAGCCATACCATTCTAGGACACTGCTGTAAGATAAATAAACTTTTATTGTTGAATTCACTATTATTTTGAGTTTTCTGTCACTGACAGCCAAACCTAATAATAAATAATTTAGCAGATAAAGCAAGGTGTAGTAGATTTTGCCACATTCAGTATATGAGGACGTCATCCACAGAAGAGATAGCCAAAGCCAAGATTGAATGAGTCTACCAAAGAAAAAGAAGAAAAGAGTTGAGAGCAAATCCTCTGGATACATTTTCATTTAATAAGGGCAGAGGGCCGGGCGCGGTGGCTCACGCCTGTAATCCTAGCTCTCTGGGAGGCCGAGGCGGGCGGATTGCTCGAGGTCAGGAGTTCGAAACCAGCCTGAGCAAGAGTGAGACCCCGTCTCTACTATAAATAGAAAGAAACTAATTGGCCAACTAATATATATAGAAAAAATGAGCCGGGCATGGTGGCACATGCCTGTAGTCCCAGCTACTTGGGAGGCTGAGACAGAAGGATTGCTTGAGCCCAGGAGTTTGAGGTTGCTGTGAGCTAGGCTGACGCCACGGCACTCACTCTAGCCTGGGCAACAAAGCGAGACTCTGTCTCAAAAAAAAAAAATAATAATAATAATAAGGGCAGAGGCTTAGCAGAGTGATTCAGCAACAAGGGAGCCCCAAATCATAAGACCAAGAGAGGAAAATTTGCCAGAAGCAGGGGATTAATAAGTGCCAAGGAATGGTAAAGGAGGAGAATCTGGGGAAAGTGGTGAGAAACTGCTTAAAGGAAAAAGGATAGAGGAAGGGAGCCAGAGCAAGATGGCTGGTTAGAACACTCCAGTGATCATCCCCCTGCAGGAATACCAAATTGAACAACTATCCATGCAAGAAAGCACCTTCATAAGAACCTAAAATTGGGTAAGCAATCACAGTACCTGGTTTTTAACATCATATCCAGGAAAGAGACACTGATGAGGGTAGGAAAGACAGCTTACACTGCCTACGCCGTCACCCCTTACCCATCCCTCAGCAGCACCCAAGACCAGTGCTGCGTGGAGAGAGAATCTGTGTGCTTGAGGGGGGGAAAGTGAAGTGATTATGGGACTGTGCATTGGAACTTAGTGCTGCCCTGTCACAAGGGGACACAACACAGGGCAGAATTTTGTCAGTGCCCACAGAGGGAACATTTAGACTGCCCCAGCCAGAGGGGAATCCAGCACCTGAGTTCTGGCTAGCTCTGCCACCAATTAATGAAAATGGCCTGGGCCCCAGAATAAATTTGAAAGGCAGTCAAGCCACAAAAAAAAATGAAGTCTTTGGACAAGTCCTCGGCTGTACTGTGCTTGAAGCAGTGGACTTGGGGTGCACATTACCAAATAAGACACAGCTGTGGCAGCCACCCAACTGCAAGCAGTACAGTTGCAGAAGAGACTCCACCGAAAAACTACTAGAACTGATAAATTTGGTAAAGTTGGAGGACACAGAATCAACTTCCAAAAACCAGTAGGATTTCTATATGCCAAGAGCAACCAACCTGAAAAAGAAACCAAGAAAGTAATCCCATTTACAATAGCTTCAAATAAAATGAAATATCTAAGAATAAACTTTATCAAAGAAGTGAAAGATCTCTATAATGAAAACTATAAAACACTGGTAAAAGAAATTGAAGAGGATACCAAAGTAGAAAGATATTCCATGCTCATGGATTAGAAGAATCAGTGTTATTAAAATGTCCATACTACCTAAAGCAATTTAAAGATTCAATGCAATCCCTATCAAAATACCAATGACATTCTTTAGAGAAATAGAAAAAATAATCCTAAAAAAAAATTTATATGGACCCACAAAAGCCCCAGCGTAGCCAAAGCTGTCCTGAACAAAAAGAACAAAACTGAAGAAATCACATTACCTAACTTCAAAACCATAATACAGAGCTATAGTAACTAAAACAGCAAGGCATTGACATAAAAACAGACTTACTGCCCAATGGAACAGAATAGAGAACCCAGAAATAAATCCACACATCTATGGTGATCTCATTTTTGACAAAGGTACCAAGAACATACAGTGGGGAAAGGCCAGCCTCTTCAATAAATGGTGCTAGGAAAACTGGATATCCATATGCAGAAGAATGAAACTAGAGCCTTATCTCTTGCCATATACAAAAATCAAGTCAAGGGGCCGGGCGTGGTGGCTCACGCCTGTAATCCTAGCACTCTGGGAGGCCGAGGCGGGCGGATTGCTCGAGGTCAGGAGTTCGAAACCAGCCTGAACAAGAGCGAGACCCCGTCTCTACTATAAAAAAATAGAAAGAAATTAATTGGCCAACTAATATATATATATAAAAAATTAGCTGGGCATGGTGGCGCATGCCTGTAGTCCCAGCTACTCGGGAGGCTGAGGCAGAAGGATTGCTTGAGCCAGGAGTTTGAGGTTGCTGTGAGCTAGGCTGACGCCATGGCACTCACTCTAGCCTAGGCAACAAAGCGAGACTCTGTCTCAAAAAAAAAAAAAAAAAAAAAAATCAAGTCAAAATGGATTAAAGGCTTTAATCTAAGACCTGAAACTATGAAGCTACTAGAAAAAAGCATTGGAGAAATACTCTAGGACATTGGTCTGGGCAAAGATTTCTTGAGTAAAACCCAAAAGTACAGGCAACTAGAGCAAAAATGGACAAATGAGATCATCTCAAGTTAAAAAGCTTCTGCACAACAAAGGAATCAACAAAGCAAAGACACAACCCACAGAGTGGGAGATAATATTTGCAAACTACCCATGTGACAAGGGATTAATAACTAGAATATATAAGGAGCTTGAACAACTCAATAGGGAAAAAAATCAAATAATACAGTCTAAAAATCGACAAAAGATCTGAATAGACATTTGTCAAAAAAGACATACAAATGACCAATGGCCAATAGGTATATGAAAAAATACTTAGTATCATTAGTCATTGGAGAAAGGAAAGTCAAAACTACAACGAGATATCTCACCCCAGTTAAAATGGCTTTTATCCAAAAGACAGGCAATAATGAATACTGACGAAGAAGTGGAGAAAGAGGAACCCTCATATGCTGTTGGCGGGAATGTAAATTAGTACAACCACCATGGAGAACAGTATGGAGGTTCCTTAAAAAACTAAAAATATAACTGCCATATGACCCAGCAATCCCACTGCTAAGTATATATCCAAAAGAAAGGAAAACAATATATCAAAATGATATCTGCACTCCCATGCTTATTGCAGCAATATTCACAATAGCCAAGATTTCAAATCAACCTAAGTGTCCACCAAGGGATGAATGGATAAGGAAAATGTAGTACATATGTAAAGTAAAATATTTTGGTTCATATATACCATGGAATATTATTCGGCCATAAAAAGAATGAAATCCTGACATTTGCAACAACATGGATGGAACTGGATAACATTAAGTGAAATAAACCAAGCACAGAAAGACAAATTTTGCACATTCTCACATGCGAGAGCTAAAAATTAAAACAACTGATCTCATGGAGATAGAGAGTAGGATGATGGCAGGGATGGGTAGTGGGGAGGGGGCAATAAAGTGAGGATGGTTAATGGGTACAAACATATAGTTAGATAGAATCAGTAAGATCTAATATTTGATAGCCAAAAAGGGTGACTACAGTCAACAATAAGTTATTGTATACAATAACTAAGAGTGGAATTGGAATGTTCCCTGCACAAAGAAATGATAAATGCTTGAGGTGATAGATACCCCCATTACCCTGATTTGATTATTATATATTGTATGCCTATATCAAAACATCATATATATTCCACAAATATATAAAACTATTATATACCCATAATAATAAAAAACTTTAAAAATAATAGAACCAGATTCCAATCAGTTTTGCCTTGGAATTCTGAGTATTCTGGGTAACATTTGGTGAAAAAAGTCTTAAAACAAAACAAACAATAAACTTCTATAAAGGCCATATTGTTAAGATCAGCAACAATGAATTAGAACCTGGGAGAATAAAGGAGATACTTGCCCTTGTAAATGATTCCCTTTCACCTAATTACTTTTCATTTCTTAACTTAGGATGAAATCCAAACAAAACCTCTTGCCTTTGACTGGTTAATTGGAAACCAAATCTGACAATGAAAAACAGATTCAGAAGCATTATGTAATATTGAGAAGTCCAAAGGTCATACATTTCCTTCTGGGTAAATGATGCCTACAAAATTAGCCAAAATGAGCTCAATCAGTGCCACTAAGGAGAAGAAACTGGCTTTTCCCATTTTCCCAAACCTTCCTCTTTTTTTTATGCTCATCTTAATTTTGCAAAAATCAAAAACAGGAAAAAAAGAAAAACAAAAACCAGTATAACAGGTAGGCTTTACTAGATTCAAGCTGATTGAGAGGAACCACAGTCTTGTAGCAATGTAAAGGCCACAGGGGTTAAGAAATTATCTTCTCTCCTTAATACCATTAGGTGTGGAGAAATGGAGTCTGGAGTAAAGATAATATTTCGTGAGTGCTGACCAAGTCTTTGACCATAAGAGATCTTTCTTTTTTTAACAGCTTTTTTTTTAAAAAAACTAAAGGTCATCAAATAAAGTTTGTGGCTTGCAAACAGCATTTTTTCAAACAAAGAAATAGAAGAGAAGAGAAAATAAACTATATCAAACAATATAACAAGGATAGTTTTTGTTTCATATAACTTCTTTTTGGTTATGCATTCATATGCATTTGTGCCTTGAGTTGCTATGTAAAACATGATGTTTCTTAATATGTGGATTACAGTGAAGAAAAAGTGTAAGCCAGTCCTGATGCTCACTTCTGTAATCCCTGTACTTTGGGAAGCTGAGGCAGAGAATTGCTTGAGGTTAGAGTTCAAGACCAGCCTGGGAAATATAATGAGACCCCCAAAAATAAGAAAAATTAGCCAGGAGTGGTGGCGCATGCCTCAGTCCTTCTTACTTGAGAGGCTGAGGCAAAAGGATTGCTTGAGCCCAAGGCAATAAAGGCTGCAGTGAGCTATGATTGCGCCACTGCACTCCAGCCTGGGCAAAAGATCGAGATGCTATCTCAAAAAAAAAAAGAAAGAAAGAAAGAAGAAAAGAGAGAGAGGAGAGAGAGAGAGGAGGGGAGGGAGGGGAGGGAGGGAGGGAGGGAGGAGGAAGGAAGGAAGGAAGGAGGAAGGAAGGAGGAGGAAGGAAGAAGGAAGGAAGAGAGACAGAGAAAGAAAGAAGAAAAAAGAAAGAAAGAAGAAAGAGAGAAAGAAAGAGAGAAGAGAGAGAGAGAGAGAGAGAGAGAGAGAGAGAGAGAGAAAAAGAAAGAAAGAAAGAAAGAAAGAAAGAAAGAAAGAAAGAAAGAAAGAAAGAAAGAGAAAGAAAGAAAAAGTGTGAAAGCCATTGTTCTAGGAGACAAGCCTAGCAATCAGGCATGTCCTACACTTATAAAGAGGGTTGGCATTCCTCTGAATGGAAGGAAACATGGCTGGCTAAACTGGTAATAAAGGATTTAAACTATTTGGGGAAAAAAATTCAAATACTCTCTCAGTGAGCTAGGAAGAGGAAACATCCCACATAAAATTAGAACCAGGAAGGGAAAAGGAAAGAAGAGAGGAAGGAAAGAAAAGAATAAAGAAAAAAACTCTGGGACTCTTAAGCTTGATGAGCATGCTGGGATACATACTTCTATAATACCTAAAGGGAAAAGAAATGTTTATTCCCAGGTGGAGAAAATCTTATTGATGAAGGTGAAGTGATTCTGAGCAGCAGGGCCTGTTGGTGGGGGCTTGTAACAGGCCTTCTGACCAACAGGAATGATGACAGCTAACATCTGTTAAATGCCAGTTTATAATCTCCAACTCATTTAAACCTCACAACTTTATGAGATAGATACCGACGTCTCTCCTGTAAAGTGGGGAGGGGAAAATATTGGTAGTTATGGGTATTAGACTATGGAACTTTTCCCCCTAAGGTCTTGATGGCCACGATTTCCCATTATGTGCAGAGGTTACAGCAGAATCCTAATATCTAGTAATTCTAATCAGTATACAGACCAGTCCAAAATTGATATATAATCTCATTACTTACATTTTTCTTTGTCAAAACCAATATAATGGATATTTTGCTTTTGGGGGGGGTGCAGGGGAAGGCAAGTAAATGGACATGTCATCCTTGTGTGATTTTATTCCGGCTACTTTTTTGTATTAAATGCAATAGTTCATATTAAAATAAGAACTGTAATATTAACACTAATGATAAAATCAAATCTCATAACAGTAAAACAAAATAAATTCCATTACAATTAGCAGATCTCTTCAATCCAGTCTCTATTTTGCTCCAGCAGTGTGTGGTAGAAATTTTGATCAAAGATCTATTTATGCTTTAAAGTATAAATTATAATTTATAAATAATTTCCACTAATCCTACTCCCTGTTGATAGGTGGTTCTTTGCAAAGCTGATGTATGATCACACTTTTTTTCAGAGATATGGAAGAACCAGACCAAATTAACTTCATTAATTTTCAAAAAAAGTGGCATTGATCTCACTTTTAAAAGTAATGTTCTAAGGGCACTGCACTGCACAAGGAAGGTACCCCACAATGAAATAAAAGAAGATAAACTGCAGTTTTTCAGAAAATGCTATTTAGTAGGTTTACTCTGACATGGGTCAGCCACGGAAGCACCAAGACCCTGAGGCTTAAACAGATCAGGAGGTAGAGTTTTGCATTTCTGGGCCAGGGCACAATTGTCCTTTACTCACTGCGCTGGTATAAGGGGGACCTTAGTTTACTTTTTAAAATGTTAAACCATTTTATTGTCTGATTACTAAAGCTGTTAGCCACACGCTGTAAGCGCAGTCTGGACTCGAAGTTGGGGAGTGAGGTTGGATCAAGTTCCAACACTGAACTAAGTTAAGACCTTTGGAATAGAAAGTCCGCCTGAGAAGACAAACTTGCAAGCAAGCAGAGGGCTCAGCACGAAGTTGCCACCGATGGACCCGAGTCCAGCTCCCCTACTGAGAATCCATCTGTCTGTATCTCAGACTCAGTTTCCTTAGTAGTAAAACAGGGATGAGAGTTCTCTGCGAAGATTAACCAAGTTAATTTAGGTTTAAAAAAAAAAACGCCCTGGCACAAACAAGTTGCTCAATCTGTCAGCGTCTTCATAGTTTAAACCAGCAAGGGAAGGTCAAAGCCTCCAGAACCAGCGGGCGGGGCAGGCCCCAGCGGTCCCCCGGCTGCAGGCGACCGAGCCGGTTACCTGATCGCGTTGACCGGCGGGTTTCGGAGGCGGATCAGCGCCAGGTAGTTGTGCAGCCGAGTATACTCGGCCATGCTTCCTCAGTCACCCGAGTCGCCTCTGCCTCTCACCACAGGGCGAAGCCACTTTTCCGGGAGCGCCGGGCCGCCCCGCGAGGAGGGGCGCCCGCTGGGCCAATGCAGGCGGGGCACCGCCTCCCGCCGCCCGCCCGCCGCCCGCGCCAGAGCTTCCCTCGCAGCCCCCGCTTCCCCCGACCCCACTCCCGCGCTCCGCATACCCCGGTCGTCTTTGTCTGTATTGGCTCCCATCCTGCTCCCACCACAGAGTACAGCGGGAGGACGATGGAATTGGGGCAGGTGGAGGCTTGCAACCGCCTAAGCCCAGAGGCGCTGGCTTCTCAGTACAAGTTCTGGCTTCACTGAGCCGGGCAAGCTGTCCTCGTCACAGTATTCATCTTCATGATCCTCTGAACGGGGACAGATTACGACCCCCGTGGTGCATTTCACCTAAGCATAACATGCTACTAACATCCACCAAATATTTAAGGAACATTATTTTTACTTACCTTACAATCGCACAGCAACTAGTGAAAGCTGAGTTTCTTGTCTGCCCAACCCTCTTTTCCCTTCTTCTGCCATTCCTAAGGATTATGATTTGTAATACATGATCCATCAGTCCATGAATTGAGCACCTATTATGTGCAAGACAAGGCCCAGCCTCTTCTCTCCAAAAGTTCAGGCCAAGACAAGGTTTTTCTACATGGAATTGGCTTCTCACGGGCCCGCAGTCCATCAAGTGGTCAGAAGGCATTCTGGAAGTTTCAGAGGAAAAAACAATGGAATAATTTTGTTCACTGATGTTTTATAGATTTTAACAATGATTAAGGATTATTTTTATAGATATTCTTTTATATCTTGAAAAAAAAAAAAAACAGGTTCCTACTACTAGGAAAGTACCGATTGTTTTGGAGCACTGGTAACAAGCGGCAGTCAGAACCCATTAAATCCAGCCAGCACAACTGCCTCAATGATCAAAGCCAACCTGTCGATGACAGCCAATCACAAACAGTCCAATGCACCTGCCTCTGAGCGCCCAAATCAACAACAGCCTCATTGGAGCAATCGGCTTTTTATAGGCGCTATCAATCTCTAGTGCCTCTAAAAATTTGCTGATCCCTAAATTCCACCTTATCGAAAAACTCCGTGTAAGAGCAACAGTCTGTTCCGCTTGGAGGGACTTGGGCATGGCCAGGATAGTTCTCCCTTACTGTAGTCAGCAAAAACTTCAGTCATCTTCCTTCAGGTATTAGTCTCTAGGGGAACAACTCTGCCATGGCAACCTAGCAACTTTAAACACCTCCACAAACGCCAAGTAGACATGGCTTCCCAGCTCTCGATGGCCTGAAATTCCTCCTGGAGGTAGAGGAGATAACAAGCATGGTGTGGAGCCACTTTAAGGCAGTTTCTCATCTCTGTCTTGTAGCAGTCTGCTACAGGCCATTTCTCGTCTATCTCCCTAGTTTCTATTGAACACATAACTTTCTTCCTTGTGCCCCCATCTCAGGGCAAGCTTCTCTGTAGATCTATAAAACTACTTGGCAGTAGTTTAGGGTTGGCTCTTTAAAAGATTAGGGTCTAGGGTGATGCAAGCGAGGCACCTAGAGGACAAAATTCAAGGGGGCACTCACTCTTAGGCTCATGCAATGTGCTGACCCTGCCTTGCTCCTCAACAACATGGATCCACCATTCCGGACATCTGTCATCTAGTCCCTCTGTTTGGTGTCATGCTGTGGGACTAGGGATACAGGGAGCTGATACCATGCTGATCTTTCTTTTGCTGTCTGTGTAAATAGTAAACTATCTAAATCCATTTGGGTGCCTTGCTGAGTCTATGGAAGTGTGACAAACCAATTTAGTAAGTGCTACCATGCATGTAGACTGCTTATAGACCTCTTGACCACTTGAGAAACTCTTGATCATTGTTACGAATTGTTATATTCTTAAATTATCTTCTCATTTAATTTGTCCTAATAATTGTTACTTAACAGGATGCTGGTCCTCTTTGCTAATACATTTCCACATTATTTGCATGTTACCTCTTTTGCTTGTTAGTACATTGTTGTTTTTGTTGTTGTCATTATGTTACATTATATCCCCATTTCACAAAAACAGATCAGTTTCTCAGAAGTGGTTCATTAAAGCTTAAAGGAAAGATAAAAGATCAATTTCCTGGTTTGGATAACTGTGATTACATAAGATGTTATCCCTGGGGGAATTTGGGTGAAAAGTACATGGGAATTCTCTGTACCATTTTTGTAGCTTCTTAAGAGTCTATAACTACTTCAAAATAAAAAGTTAAAGTTTTTAATGTGAAAAAAAAGAAAGATAAAAGAAAATAAAGCTATAATTTAGCATAATGCCCAAAAAGTGAACTGGATTTCAATGCAAATACAGACCTCTTGCCTGCTAGAACATACAAATCTGTACTCACAGTAATACTAGAAATGCTATCTAAACCTGGCTTTCCTTGCAATGGTAATCTGTTAGCCCTGGAGCCTAGGGTGTTATATATGAAATTCCATTCAAGAGTAACCATGAATCAGTTGAGGCTTACTTCTGTGGTAAGCTAGTCAAGTTTTTCTGGAACAAGCAAAACAATGCTTTCTGGACTGAGTGATAAAATTTTTTTTTGAGACAGGTCTCACTCTGTTGCCCAGGATAGAGTGCCGTGGCGTCAGCCTATCTCACAGCAACCTCAAACTCCTGGGCTCAAGTGACCCTTCTGCCTCAGCCTCCCAAATAGCTGGGACTACAGGCATGCGCCACCATGCCCAGCTAATTTTTTCTGTATATATATTTAGTTGCCCAGATAATTTCTTTCTATTTTTAGTAGAGATGGCGTCTTGCTCTTGCTCAGGCTGGTCTGAGCTCAAACAATCTGCCTGCCTCGGTCTCCCAGGTCTCCCAGAGTGCTAGGATTACAGGCGTGAGCCACCACCCCCAGCCAGGACTGAGTGATAAAATCTTTCACACACCCTCTTCCATGTCTTTCTCCTTTCACTGGGGGAGATGGACACAAGCCTCCAAGGGAGGATAGAGGCACAGACAGAAGCAGCCTGGCTTCCCAAATGACTTGTGGAAGACAGCCACCCAATGACTGGAACCAGCATGGACTGTTAAAGGTACAAGAAATAAATTTGAGTCTGGTAAAGAATTTTACCCTGTCCTAACTAATACAGTGAAACAGTAGGCAGTGAGTACACTCTTACACAGTGAAGTTGGCTGACATTCAAGGAAAAAAGCTGCTCACATAAATGTCCAAAATGAAAGAAGGGATCAAAATAGTTTTCTCACTATATCAGTGTGAAAGTTGTCAAAATTAAGATGGAGTTACTTGTGTCAAACCCAAAGAAAACAGAGTCAGGTTAGAAAGGAAGGGTCCTCATGCACACATGCCTATCGTAAGAATTATTACAAAGACTCTCTCAAGGGCTCTTATGCGCATATGCCTGTAGCAAGAACTTTTTATCAAGGACTTTCTAAACTGCTGCTTGCTACATGGGTCACAAGGACAGCTAGCCTGATGTACAAGAATGCTTGCTTTACACACTGTCTCCACAGATGAACTGATATCAACTTCTGTGATAAATCCCTGTAATGTTCTTTTTGTTTCAAAACAAATTATGTGTATTTCTTTTGCCTTTAAAAGCTTCCCCTTGCCTCAGTCTCTTCAAATATGCCCACAGTTTACTACAGCACCCATGTTCTGCATTGTACTGCTTCTGCTTATTCCTAGTTAAATTCAATATTTTTAGAGAGCATCTCTTTGCTAGTTGTTCAGACTGACACCAATAGTATCAATAATGATGGTATATATAATATCAAATTACTTGTTCAAATCTCAAATGTTGGGCCTTAAAAATATACACTGTACACACACACTCACACACACACACACACACACACACACACACACACACACAGAGTATCTTAATGTTGAAGATAAGCCATAAGGAGAAGACACAACTGTGGCAAAAAATGACTCAGTCACAGGTCGATTATCTTCAACAGGAGAAATAAGTCAGAGATGTATGTAAGAGATAAGTCAGATGATGTCTTATTGAGCATATTTAAAATCACACCCATATGCTGCCATCAAATCTGAGCTAAAGGCAGCCAAAATCTGAACTGAAAACACATTCACTGCTATCTCCCATGTTTCAACTTTTCAGCTTTTCCATAAGCTTGGCTTATCACTTTAGGTTTGCAGGTAGTTTTTTATGATATATGTCATCTCTGTCAACTTCTGAACTAAAAAGCATGCAAGAAATGTCCCTTCTCAACAGCACAAGCACATTTTATGACATCTCTGGCATTCTCCAACATCCAATTTTATTTCATATTGAAATAAAATTGAAAATTTCAATTGCATTGAAAATGCAATTAGGCTATCATTCCCAGATCTCTCTCCTAATTTCTCACCAAATTATTTTACTTAAAAGAGGATATTTCATCTGCTAATGATCATTTCTTTTGGCTTTTCTGACAAATTGATACTATTTAAAAAGAGGCTGCATAGACATACATTTGAGAGATGTCCCAGGTAATTTAGTATAGTATTCCTTCGAATGCAGGAATGCCTCAACAACATTCCAAGCACAGATGACTCATCACTCTTCAAATGCTTCCAGTGATGGGGAATACAGCACTCTGCATGGTAAATAGTTCTGCTTGAAAAAAAAAAGAAAGAAAAGAAAAAAAGTCTTATTCCCTGGGACCTTGATTCTACTTTTGTTCTCAGGGATTATATCTTAAATCTCTCTTTAATAGAATAGTTTTTCATCAAATATTTAAAGATGCTAACAAGTTCATCCTAAGACACTCTTCTTAGGCTCTTTTTCAGGAACCACCATTTCTCATATGACAAGGTATTTCTAGTCACCATGTTGGTTGTTAAGAACACTCTTCAAATTTGTCAACGACCCTTTTAATAAGCATCCATTCTCTGTATTCTGCACCTGTTATTAATCATGTCATATCCATGTTTCTTTAACTCATATTGGTTCTGTTTTTTTATTAACATAAAGATATTTTTTTCCTTTTAAATTTCAAGCAATATGCTCTTTTTAAATTTCTTATTGATACACACCTTACATACCATATAATTTATCTTTTTAAAGTGTATGATGGAGTGACTTTTAGTATATTCACAAGATTTGCAACCATCACCCTCTCTAATTCCAGAACATTTTAATCACTCAAAAAGAACCCACATACCCATTAAGCAGTCACTCACCATTCCCCTTTCTCCCTATGGTTGGCAACCACTACTCTAATGGGACATTTATCTGTTTCTTTGAATTTGCCTATTCTAGATATTTCATATAAATGGGATCACACAATCTGTGACCTTTGGTGTCTAGCCTCTTTCACTTGGTATAATGTTTTCAAATTTCATCCATGCTGTAGCATGTATCAATATTTAATTCCTTTTTATGGCTGAATAATATTTCATTGCATAAAGATCTAAAGTCATTGTAAACATCAAGTTCTTAGAATTTGGGGGAGGGGCAGCATTTCTCTCTTCTTCCAATTGTTAGCGATCATAATTGAGTAGGTTTTAAATGTCTATTAATTGGAAGAGTTTGTTATTTGGAACCAGAGGGGAGAGATACATTTTAAGTATTAGAATTAGGTTGGCTTTGAATTTGTACTAAATTGGGAAGGTAATAGATTTTCACAAATTATGTGTGCCTTGTTGAAAATGTCAGTTGTCTTTACATCTACTTGTAAAAGTTTCAAAATATGTTTTTCTCTCCAAAAGGCAACCTAATTTCATTTGCTTGAATATTCTAATAGGAATGCTTACTGATATTACTTGATAATCATATAGCCTTGGAACTTTAACGTATATATATAACTATAGCAGTATTAATAATTATAGTTGTATTTCTTTATAACATTAAACTTGAGGAAATTTAAAAAAATATATTTCATTGCATAAATTAACTGCATTTTGTTTATCCATTCACTAGTTGGTAGATATTTGGGTTGTTTCCACTTTTTGGATACAATGAATAATACTGCTATGAACATTTCACATACAAATTGTTATATGAACTATGTTTTTAATTCTCTTGGGTATATATCTAGGAGTGGGACTGCTAGTTCATATGGTAACTCTATGTTTAACTTTTAACTGCCAAACTGTCTTCCAAAGTAGCTGCACCATTTGACATTCCCACTAGAAATTGGAAGTTTCCAATTTCTCTACATCCTTGCCAATACTTATTGTCAATTTTTTTTATTACCTGTTCTTAGATATGAGTTGTATCATATCTTTCTTTGTACCAAGCATGGCCTTCTCCCTTTTTATGAGAATGCATATTTAGAATCGGCCTGGCTTATAGAAAGTACCCAATAAAAATATTCATAATATTAGCCATTATTAGTATTATGTTCCTTTGAGATTAATCAAATTGAATTGTCTTTTCTCTAGGCTTATATTTCCATCTGCTTTAAATAGCAAACAGGATTTAAATTAATGTACCATGTATTGTTAAGAACAAAGTAAAACAGATTGCCATAACTCACATGTTCTAGCAACTGTTATTTCTCTCCAGGTTTTTCCATCAAAGTGTCTTCATTTAAGCCTGAGGATTGTGCTGATGTATGATTTGGCTTTGAGGACTTCCAAGGAAAAGAAGAAGGGCCAGAAGACTAAGGATGAGCAAACATTTTGATTTTTGAATAGGCAAAAAGATGATAAAAGATGCTCTAGACTGGTAAGTTTTATATCAATATGTTATGAAATTTTAGAATAATCAAGGAGAGACTTTGTGAAAAGGAAGTTTTGATCATCAAAAGATGTATTAGGTATATTAAGAACAAGTTATGCCAAATTACATTTATTTCAGTTTTTTTTTTTCAGGGATGAGATCTTGCTCTGTTGTCCAGGCAGAAGTGCAGTGGCACAATCACAGGTCACTGTAACTTTGAACTCACTTCTGAGCTCAAGCAATCCTCCCACCTCAGCGTCCCCAGTAGCTAGGACTACAAGCACGCACCTTTATAAGCACAGCTAATTTTTTAAATTATTTTGTTCTCAGGGATTATATCTTAAATCTCTCTTTAATAGAATAGTTTTTCATCAAATATTTAAAGATGCTAACAAGATGGGGGTCTCATTTGGTTGCCCAGACTGATCTTGAACTCCTGGCCTCAAGTTATCCTCCCATGTCAGCCTCCCAAAGTGCTGGGATTATAGGCATGAGCCACCATGCCTGGCATCATTTCAGTTTTTGAGAGGATTATAATAAATTGGATAAGAGAAGTGTTGTATTGAGATTCCTAAAGAGATTTAAGATGGTTAGATAATGGAATCTTTGTGGATATGATGTGGATTATTTGATAACAATGTTTTATGAATATTGAGCAGTTACATGTACTAGGCACTACTAATGCAATGTGGCAAAAACAGACACAGTTCCTGCCTTTATGTTGCTTATATTATAGTATTATGAGACAGTAGTTCTTAACTGAAGGAGGAAAAAGAAAAGCATGCATTTTGAAAATACACACATCTGGTGATCACTCTGGGAGATTCTGATTCTGAGTGGACTCAGCAGTTTAAAAAAGGACCCCTGGGAATTCTAAAGCACATCCCTGGTTAAGAAACTCTCATGAGGGAAGCTTTTCTAGCAGTTCACTGCACTGTTTTTGACCTGATTCTGCCTTGAACTATATTATTTTCCAAGCTGAGCAACTAATAATGTTAGAGCAATTTCACATGTACATATGATATAATTGCTCACATTATAATAGAATTCAATGAAGAATTGAAATTTCCTGCTGCTTTGTACTTTATTCACAGATTGGTACAGTTGGATTCTAAATGAATTTGTGTCAGCAAGACCTAAAATATAGAGCTATATGGCTGGGTGTGGTGGCTTATTCCTGTAATCCCAGCACTCTGAGAGAGTAAGGTGGGAGGACCACTTGAGGCCAGGAGTTTGAGACCAGCCTGGACAACATAGTGAGATTTCCAGCTTTAAATTGGCCTCTATGTGTTCAAGTGAAAGAAACAGTGACACATTTCTCACTTTAAGTGAAAAGCTATAAATGATTAAGCTTAGTGAGGAAGGCATGTCAAAAGCCAAGACAGGCCAAAAGCTAAGCTTCTTGTACCAAATAGTTAGGCAAGTTGTGAATGCAAAAGAAAAGTTCCTGAAGGAAATTAAAAGTGCTACTTCAGTGAACACATGAATAACAAGAAAGCAAAATAGTTTTATTGCTGATATGGAAAACATTTTAGTGGTCTGGATAGAAGATCAAAGCAGCCACAATATTTCTCTTAAATCAAAGCCTAATGCAGAGCAAGGCCCTAACTCTCTTTAACTCTGTGAGGAGTGAGAGAGGTGAGGAAGCTGCAGAAGAAAAGTTGGAGGCTAGCAGAGGTTAGTTTATCAGGTTTAAGGAAAGTAGCCAACTACATAACAAAAAAGTGCAAGGTAAAGTAGCAAGTGCTAATGGAGAAACAGAAGCAAGTTATCTAGAAGATCAAGCTAAGATAACTGATGAAAGCGGGGTACACTAAACAACAGATATTCAATGCAAATAAAACAGCCTTCTATTAGAAGATGCCCTCTAGGACTTTTGTAAATAGAGTAGAAGTCAATGCCTAGCTTCAAATCTTCAAAGGACAGGCTGACTCTCTTATTAGGAGTTAATGCAGCTGGTGACTTTAAGTTGACACCAGTGCTCATTTGCCATTCTCAAACTCTTAGGGCCCTTAAGGATTTTGTTAAATCTATTATTTCTGTGTTTTATAAATGCAACAGTAAGGCCTGGATGACAGTGCATCTATTTACAGCATGATTTACCAAATATTTTAAGCCCACTGTTGAGACCTACTGCTCAAGAAAAAATATTTCTTTCAAAATATTACATCTCATTGACAATGCACCTGGTCACCCAAGAGCTTTGATGGTGTTCTACAAGGAGATCAATGTTGTTTTCATACCTGTTAACATTTATTCTGAAGCTCATGGATCAAGGAGTAATTTTGACTTTCAAGTCTTATTATTTAAGAAATATAGGCCAGGCACAGTTGCTCACACCTGTAATCCTAGCACTTTGGGAGGCCAAGGCGGGAGGATTGCTGAAGACTAGGAGTTACAGATTAGCTTGAGCAACAGCAAGACCCCAGATCTACAAAAAAAAAAAAAAAAAAAAAAAAAAAATTATCTGTACATGGTGGCACGTGCCTGTAGTCCCAGCTACTTGGGAGGCCTCTGAGGTAGGAGGATTGCTTGAACCCAGGAGTTTGAAGTTGCAGTGAGCTATGGTGATGTCACTGTACTCTAGTCTGGGGAACATAGTGATGAAGATCCTGTGTCAAGAAAAAAAGAAAAGAAATACATTTCATTAGGGTAGAGCTGCCATAGACAGTGATTCCTCTGATGGATCTGAGCAACGTAAATTAAAAACCTTCTGGAAAGGATTCACCATTATAGATCTCTAAGAACATTTGTGATTCGTGGGAAGAAGTCAAAATATCAACATTAACTGGAGTGTGGAAGAAGTTGATTCCCACTCTCCTGGGTGACTTTGAGGTTTCAGACTTCAGTGGAAGAATTAGCTGCAGATGTGGTGGAAACAGCAAGGAACTAGAATTAGAAGATGTGACTGAATTACTGCAATCTCATGATAAAGCTTGAGTGGATGAGGAATTTCTTCATATGGATGAGCAAAGAAAGTGGTTTCTTGAGATGGAAGCTATTCTTGGTGAAGATGCTATGAACATTGTTCACTGTTGGATTATTAACTGGCCTAATATCAACATTGCTGTGTCTCAGGGAACAGGGAGGCCTGAGGAGAGTGAGAAAGATAAGAGAACCACCAGTTGCAGTCAGAACACACACAACATTTATTAAGTTTGCTGCGTGGTTCATGGTGCCCCAAACAATTACAATAGTAACAATAAAGATCACTGATCACAGATCACTATGACATATACCATGTAATTAAAAATGTTGAAATATTGCTACAATTACAAAAATGTGACACAGAGATACAAAGCAAACATATACTGTTGGAAAATGTCACTGACAGACTTGCTCGATGCAGGGTTGCTATAAACCTTCAATTTGGAAAAAAATGCAATTATCTGCAAAGTACAATGAAGTGATACACAATAAAATGATGTGTGCCTGTACTAAATGCACAACCATCCCCTCTGGGGTTGCTGTGCACAGTGTGTAGATGTGAACACAAACTGCTGTATCCATTTTGCCACCTTGAGGGAAGCTGGCTGTAAGTGGAAGCCAATGCCCCTGAAGGCAGAGCAAAGGAGGAAATAAATATCCTGGATGATATCTTTGAGTTGCTAAAGCAAACAACCATGATGCCTGTCATGACATTAGAGCTATACAAGTCAATACTCCCATTATTGTTTAAGTCAGTTTGTGTTGCATTTTGTAGAAGATGTAAAGATGTGCTATCCAGATTCCCTTTCAAGGAAGCAGTTGCTGCCCAGCTTCAGGGATTAGGGTTAACAGGCAGCCCTAGCTGTCAGTTTGTTCAGGGTATGCCTCAGCTGCAGAGAGGCACCTTGCTTGAGATCACACCCTTCCTGGGGCAGAGTGCATCCAATATAAGCTGGCCATTTCAGCCTGATACAACGATGGGCAATAATTACCCTAGAGTTCTCTCCCAGGATGGCTGAGGATTCTTTGGTCCTGAATATCAGTTCAACTCTGAACAATCCTGCTTCCTCCCTTTTCATAACAAAAATATTTCTTTCCATCTCCATATCATTGTCTACTTCTAGAAAACCTAATCTGTTACAGGTTTTCTGTAATATCAAGCAAAAGCACCCTGAGATTCAGTAGAATAGTTTGAATTCAGTCTCTTCTAGAGGAAAGGAAATGGACCCATGATATCTCTTACTTTTAACTTTGTATCACGAAAATTTTTCAGCATATACCAAAAGTTGAAGAATAGAATGAAACAATAATATCAACATATGACCAATATTTATTACCTGATACACTCCCATATTATTTTAAAGCAAGTCCTTGACATTATATTATTCCATCCATAAATACCAGAGTGTAAGTGATGTTTGCTTTGATATGCAATACAATGCCAAGGAAGTGTTTTCACAGGAAAAGAGGCAGAGATGGCAGTAGTAGGAGATAGAGGGCCCAGACCTAATACTGGAATCCATTCATTCTTTCACCTATTCAACAAACATTTTAGAATCTATCATCTCCCAAAGTCTTGGGATACTCAACCATCACCGGTATAGGCAGTTATTCAGATAGGGGGTACTGTGCAATGATGTCTTTGGTCAGATTAACCAGAAAGAAAAAAGAAAAAAAAAAGAGTCTTCTACCACCTGCCATCTAGTGGTCACAGTGGTAAATATCCTGCATTTTTTCTCCTACACAGAACAGTACAAGGTTTGTTCTAGGAAAAAAGCTTAAAGAGGAAATTGAGGCTCACAGAGAGGTGAAGTGATTTTTATAAGGTCATATTGCTAGTTAATAGCAGAGCTAGGCACAGAACCCAAACAAGCTGACTTTAAGATGTGTAAATTGTGATTGTTTGAAACTGTTAAAAATGTGATTTGAATGATTTAAAATTTGATTAAAGCATCATATTTTGTATTTATTTTTATCAAATTATAGTGTATTGGTAGAAAAGAGGGGAAAGAACCATTGGTTGAATGAGGGAACTAGATGGGCCTGTGATAACACTAACATTGAATTATTTTTCTATTAAAAGGTCCCATATTATTTGGAACACAGACTTATTACCAACATTTCAATAATAGTAGCATCCATGCTGGCTTTATCATATTCACAAAACAAAGGTTGAATAGTTAAGTAAAATTGCTTCCAATTAGAGAAAATTAAATAAAATTGTGCCATGTCATTGGCAGTATATTCATAATCTGTTTACTTTCTGCAACTTCTTGGGTCTGTTACTTATTCCATCCAGCCAGTTAAAACTGAAAGTAGATCTCACCAGAGCTGATAACTTTACCCCTCATTTCTGGGTAAACATAAGAAGTTTGCCAGGGAAAGGGGGATACTGAGTTTGAAATGAACCCAGCAGTGCCCATACCAGAACATTCAAATGATCATTAGAATTTTGTGTTATCTACGTTACATAGCCCGTGCCTCCCCTAGAATGTGATTTTCCTAGTCCTTTTCACCTGAGAGTGAAGGTCGTGAAAGTGAAGCTGCTCTTATCTTATTAACAGCTGAGGCAGACTTTCAGAATAGGGAGAGGTGGTGAGCATTTTGAGGCTCCATTTCTGTGCTAGCATTGCCACTATGTGATTTTCAGTCTCTGGATTGAATTGTCCTTACCTGTAACAGCAAAAGGTTGATTAAATGATTGCTTCTAAAGTTCCTCTCACTTGTATCATTCTGTGAATTTTTTGTGCTACGGATAAATCCTCAGCTCAGCTGGTCTCTTCTGTTTCTTTTTTCTGGGTTGACTTCCTTCTTCCCATAATCATTTATTGAGTATCTCCACGTTCTTGAGGATAGGGCCTGAGTTTTATTCATCTTCCCCCCATTACCTAGCACATTAACTGAGTTGATGATTTCACATAAGGTTAAAGTTAGTTTCTATATAAGATTCCAACCTGTTCTCGTGGAGCTCACAGTTCTGAAGAAGGTACCACGCACCATCAATTAATCACTTAATAAAAAAAATTAAAGATAACAGGAAAACTGGTCCCAGCCTCCCTTAACACTTACATGTTTCAAAAGGGAACAAGAGTGCATAATAGAGCAAGTAGTAATAGTTAACATTCATTGGGTGCTTTCAATGTGCCAGCGCTTTCCATGCATTATCCCAAGTAATATATACAACAATGGTCCTATGTTCTAGGTACTGATATCTTTTTCACACTTGAACTGAGCACAGACAAGTTAAGTAACATGACTAGGTAACACTTCATTTGAAGCTAAACAAAGCAACCTCAGAGGCTGCACTCCCAAGCACTCCACTGATAAATAAGAAAAATCACAAGAACAATCTTGTGTTATCTCCGAGAGGCCGGGAGAATTTGGAGAACACGGATGAGTTAGGTGCAGAAACAGAAGGGAGCGGCTGCAGGAGAGAAGGCTACTGAAGGTGACAAAGTTTGCCCACACACACACACACACACAAATGCACTTCTCTGGGCTGCACTGCACAACCGAGGTTTAGGCAAGCAGGCGGAATAAAACCGATAAGCAAACTCTAGAGCGTGCCGGCATTCAATCGCTGAACAGGTCGGAAGTGACGTCAACCAGGAGCGCTGGACGCTTAGAGGGACTGCAGGGGCAGGTGGAATTCCGGCCGGATGTGAGGCACAGGAAGTTACGTCATGGAGGCGGTACCTGGTTGTGAAGGGTGTCGTGATGGGCGGGGCGGAACCCCTGTGTTTCGCTGGGAGACTTGGATCCCCGGCAGGTAACCTGCGGACCGGACCTGAACGGGGGCAGGGCTGGAAGCTGGGTGTGATGGCCCGAGTCGCTTGGGGCCCTAAGCTTGGGCGGACAGATGGCTCTCGCATTAGGTGGTGGCTGGAGGAAAGGCTCCTTGGTTTGAGATTACCTGAGGATGTAGGGTTACGGGGAACTTTTGGGAACCGGGTCGTAGGGGACGAGGCCGTCGAGGAAATGCAAACTCAATCTTGTAGGAATCGGTAATGGCTAGGGGTCCAGGGCTTCCAGTTCACTGAGATGAACTAACCTAGGGTTCATTCCCCATCTACCTCGAACCATTCTGCTAATAGGGGACAGGGACCTCGCTTTTATGTCTCTTAATCCGTAGGATAGCGCCTTGCCACTATTAGGCATTCTTTAGATGCTGCCGAAGGAATTAATGAATTAATTAATGAAAGAACATGATTCTGGCCCAGCGAGGGAACTTCTTACTCAGTATCCCTACCTCTGGGTGTAGAAGTGACTCCACTTCTACTCCACATCAGGTTTATCCACCGGTATTTTATCAGGATGCCGGTGAAGAGAGATCAGGACGTTGTTGGATTGTTTTGTTTATGATTAGTGAAATTTAGAAATGTGTTTTAATACTTTTTTCTGGGCAAAGAATATAAGGCTTCTTTCAACGTTCCTTTACTTTTCTGGGACTTTTCTGGGAAGGACTCCCAGGGGAATGATACCAGGGAGGAAGGAGTTGGTCATCAGGTGATAAGCTGCAGTTGTAGCACTGAGTGTTCTAAGTACTTTCTTCTCAGCAATATCAACTTACTTTACTTTTTCTTAATGTTTTCTATCTTATATTGTAAGTAAATGTACTACTTACATTTGAGATGTAAATAAGAATTATAACAAAAATGAAAATAGTAATTTATAAAAATCCAGTCAGAGATTACACCTGGTACACATAAGGCTAACTCCTTCCAAACAGTTGTAGAAGGCCCCCAAAAGAATGAATCCCTGAAGATTAAATTGTTTCCTTTGTAAAAAGTATTTTTTTAGGTGTCTTAAATGTGATAAAGAGTGGGTATGGACCTAAAAAACAAGTACTGTAACCAGATTGGTTTTAGTTGTCAAATGGAAAAAAGTGCAGATGAGACTGTCATTAGGCTATGTAATGAGGTCTGGACATGAATCACTACCTAGTCTAGTGAGGTAATTGTTGTGTATGGTCTATCTAATGAGATAGCAGCTCGTGAGAGCTTCCAGAATCTTATCATTAGATTGGATGTAGTTGGTAAGAAACCCAGTATTTATGCCATACTCTTTTGTGGGTTTTTTTTTTTTTTAATAAAGAAGAAACTAGTAAGCTTTTTAATTTAAAATCTAAGGTGTTCTTAAAATAGGTTGAAAACTCCAACATTTAACATTAATTCAACATTGTTGAACTATTTAAATTTTAAAAGTTTACCTACTCTTAAATCTTGTTTTTACATTTTCTGGAAAGTGTTGGTATCCAAATCATCCCCATCTTTGTATGCTCTTAGTGTTATGTCACCTTTAGAGCATATATAAATGTGGTACAAAGTAATGTTTTGAGATCCTCTGGATTTGTGTTAATATTATTGTCTTAAAAATAAAGTCTAATTTTGCTACCTACATCTGCTGTTCCATGTCATGTCGACTAAATTTTGCACATCTAAATGTCTATATAGTATAACTGTTATTCATTATGAATTTGGTATCCAAATGATAACTTGGGTATATGCATTGACATTCTTGAGGTTTTCAGTTTTGCAGAATACTGCTATCTATGGACTCTAAAATGAACTTCATTTAAAGAAACCCACGGACCATTAATGGACAAAAACATGAATCATTATGTATTATGGCATTCAAATCCTAGCACTTTGAGAGAGGTAAGTTGTTGACTGTGTTTTATGTTAGGTGAAATATTAGAACAAGCCCTAGACTTGCCTTGGAAATTATAGGAATATATTTGAGAAATATAAGCTTGAATCTCTGTTTTAATGTGGACCTTCCAAAGAGTGGTTTGTTTTGTATATATGAGGCAATTATTGTTACTATTTCACTGTCAAATTGATCATAAATTTAAAAGACTGACAAGTTGTACTTTTATGGTTTCTAGAAGGTTACTGCTCTGCTTTCTTTTTTCTTTTTTCTTTTTGCTGGGGGGAGACCTCCTTTCAACACTTTAGAGCCTGGTAGATATAAAGCAATCTTTGGATACCCTGTAGAAATGAAGGCTCAAATAGTCATTTAAATCATCCAAATTTGGCTATGGGATAATATATGTCTCAAATCTGCTGGTCAATTTTATTTTGTGCTTTAGGTTTGAATGAGAAGAGAAGCCAAAAAATGTCTCTTTTTCTTTATCTTGCCTTATTTATGACGTTTTCTTTTTTCTTTCTTCTTTTTTTAATCTGTTAAGTGATTCATTCTCCAAGCCTTTTATCTTTCTGTCTCAGGGGGTAAAGTTTCTCTTTTTTCCATTTTACCTTTCCTAATTCATCAGTTTGGTAACTTTCAAAACCTTAACTTCTAACCTTTTGATAATGCTTGGCAACTTTTAATCACTAAGCATTAAATTTGTAGATTTTCCTGGTCTCCTTTGTAGATACACTGGCTACTTGTGTAGAATTTATTTAATTTTAACAGTAGGCAATAATTCTGGGAATTCATCTTTCAGATATATTTCTGATTGCTCATAAAAATTTGCATACAAAGATACTTGTCATCATAGTGTTTGAAATTTTTTAAAAAATGAGAGATAGTCTAAATATGCCTCAGCAGAAGTCTAGTTAAATAAGGACCTTTATACAAAGTATTAATAATACTTTGCAGTTCTTAGAATGAAGTATTAATAGATGCAAAGATACAGACATGGAAAATCTCTAATATACATTGCTGAGAAAAACAGTATGTAACAATATATATAGTATGTTCTCATTTATTTTTTCAAAGCATACATTTATATACATACATACAAAATTTCTTCAAACTGATGTAAGGAACTACGGACAGAGGTACCCCTAGGGAATGAGACTAGAAGTCTAGAGTAGGAAGAAGACTCACGTTTTTTCTATATACTCTTTCTGGTGGGTCGAAATTTTTTACTATGAGTATGTTTTTATTTTCATAATACTAAGAAACAGCAAAGCTTTAGGATAATTTAATAATTATGGCAGTCTACTACCATTCTTATGACTTTCTATTCTTGTTATTATTTGCACTATTTAGAAGAAGTGTAATTACGCAAGTGAGGTTTTTTCCCAGAGCTGCAAGTTTAGAAAGTTTAGTGATATTGTAGTAGGTTTTAAACCTTGACATTAGATTTTACTATTAATAAGAACTTATGAATACCAATTACTTAGTGCTACCAAATTCAGTACCATATGCAATATATAGCATGTTTGCTGAGTTGACCAGGTGATATAGTGGTTGTTACATTTGTTTGCAAGCTGTTTGCATTGCATTGGCATGGTTCTGAGCTTCTCAGTAGTATTGAAGGGAATGAACTTTGTTTTATTTGAATTGCTATTTAGGGATTCTTTGAACAAGTCTTACAGTTATTATTTCACTTTGTTCTTGATGTTTAGAACTGGCTTAAGGCATTTCAAAGAATGCTTGTTCTCTCTTAGTAAAATCAACAAATCAGAAAGATAATTTAGAAAGATATATATGGATTATCTCATTTTGTATTACTTTGAATTGGCTTATCTGTTTGGAACTCAGCAAAAATTTCTTGTGACTTTTATTTCTCAAGCCATTTTTGTCTGCTCATATTTTTATTGTGGGACATTTGGAACAATAGTAATAAGTATCTAAATAAGTAATAGTAATAAGTAACACAAAAAATAAAGATATAATAAACTTCATTTTATTAATAGAGGGATTTTTATTTGAAACTTGCTTGAGAATAGACTACATAAGATACATAACCTGTATGATACCACTGATTGTGTGTCTTGTTAAAATCATAATGGAGGCTGCATATCTAGGGACTGCGTCATGATTAATGGAATAGAACAGGTTATGATATGTCAGTTGTTTTATACCATACTTTGGCAGAATATTTTGCATATAGCATCTATAGATGCTTTACTTCTTCAGGTCCTTGGGATTAATCACTAGAGTCACATTCATTGGTGGGATTCCTAGAGTAAGATTCCTTATTCCTGCTAAGAGAATGGATAGCCGTGAATTGAATCTGAGGGTAGATTGTTTTCCTGAGTCAAGATGCTAGAATATGGTAAAGGTGACATGTGGAAAAAAAGGAGACAAACATGAATGTAAAAGTTACATGTAGAGAACGTAGAATTGAGGAAGATGTTTGTATATGTGTGTGTTTGTGTGCACATAGATGTATAATACATTATATATATTAATATATTATATTATAATATATATCAAAATTTCTGGAAAACCAGATAGGAAGTTATCCAGATAGTGCAATGAGAAAAAAGATCAGCATTTTAAAGGACTCAGAGCTGGGCCTGTCATGGCTAATTCATGATTTTGAGAGTAGCTTAAAGAATTTTGGAAGTTTTAAGATCATTCAGTGTCTTAATGACAGGAAGGCAGACAAAAGCCTAAGAGGGAGAAAATTAAAATCCAGCAACATAAATGATTATGGTTAAGGGTATGTTTTAAGATTCTGTTTTGTGGCATTGTTTTGGGGAGGGGAAAAAAGAGAGAACTAAAAATTTATTGCTGTTCAATTTGAGTTGAGCTAAATCCATAAGCCTTTCCTAGCATTCCAATTGTGTATGACCAAGATTAACCAAGATTAAACAGACCCCATTAACCTACCAAGCATTAATATATAAAAGCTGATTTTTATTACTAGAAATACCTGAAGAACAAGAGAACTGTTTTTAATCAGTCTTGTGGTTATATTAAAGGACAACTGATGATCTAGATTGAGGGGAACTGGGACTATTTTGTTCAGAAATAAAAGACTTTGGAAGGATTGGGGAAACTCTATAGGAAGTACAATTGTTCTCTATATACTTTAATTTGAGGCTAAAATTAGTTCTAAATGAGAGAAAGTATAGTAACTAGTCAGCAGTGAGGCAGATTGTGTCAAGAGGCAGTGAATTCCTGGTCATTAGGATTGCTCAAGCTGAGTTTGAACATCAGGAACATTGTAGAGGAAATTTCTCATTAAATGGGAGAGTGTACTGGTTTATTTTCAAGGTCTCTTTCAAATCCTAAATTTTTTATAATGTAATAAAATGATTTATTGTAGATAGGTTTATGTATGTCTACTATTAAATATAAATATTATAAATATAAATATAATTTAATGTTATTAAATTAAATATAAATATAACTAACTTATGCATTGGTCACTTATCCACCAACCTCAACTTATCCATGACAAGGACATAAATTATAAAATTACCTGAACACACAAATTATAAGACACAAAATTTTTATACTTTTCTCAGATCCTTACTCAGGTTATTTACTTTTCTTTTAGACACAGTTCTGACAGACTTAATTAACTGGTATCTAATTCCACAGGATGTTAAGAAGCAACAAATTATGAATGGGCCAAGCACTGCTATTAGAGGCAGACACATTGACAAGGAAGAAAAAGAAAAAAGTCATAAAGCAGATCAACTGAATTTAACATTGTAGCAGCCTGAGCCCTTTTGCTTAGATGAAAACAGATCTGTATTAATGGATGTTCAAAGTAATAACCCTGACTGAATGTCAGTAACTTATGTTCAATATTTTCTATTGAAGAAGTTGGGGAAGAATAGCTAAATTTTTCTCTTCAGCATGTTTGACATTTGGAGAGGATGCTTTGTATAGGAAGTGGGACTATTTTGAGCGTGAACTCTAAGAAATAGTATAGACATATCTGAGCTCCAATTTTTACGAGCTGTTCTATTAAGTTTTATTATTCCAAGCCTCAATTTCTTCATCTGTAAAATAGGAATTTACTGAAGGTTAGATAATACATATAAAGGTTTGCCTGTATTAAGTGCTAAGTAAATAATAGCTATTGTTATTATTTCATTATTACCATAAAACTTACTCTATCTTGAATTTTTTGCTCTTCAAATAGAGCAAAAACAAACTTACCTAATAATTTAGTGTGACTTTAATATATATTAATGCTAATAATAGTGATGGCATGCTTAAAAACCCTTTTTAAAAAAATTATATAATTAATCCATGTCTACTTAACAAAAATCAGGTTATAGAAAATATACCTAAGCAAAAAAGGAGTAAAGTTACCCCAACCCTCTTATCACTGTTAGTATTGTAGTGGCATGCATTATTTTTAAACTGCTTTGACATTCCTGCAGGATGTCACTGCTGAGTAGTGACTGCTGAAATTGATTCTATATTACTGCTGTTGGGGAATTTACATTAGTCACTGTGCTTTCTAATCGTAACATGCAGTGAAGAGGGGGCATGGGCAATATACGTAACCTTAGCATTTGTACCCCCATAATATGCTGAAATTAAAAAAAATGCAGAGAAGGCCGGGCGCTGTGGCTCACGCCTGTAATCCTAGCTCTTGGGAGGCCGAGGCGGGCGGATTGCTCGAGGTCAGGAGTTCAAAACCAGCCTGAGCAAGAGCGAGACCCCGTCTCTACTATAAATAGAAAGAAATTAATTGGCCAACTGATATATATATAAAAAAAATTAGCCGGGCATGGTGGCGCATGCCTGTAGTCCCAGCTACTCGGGAGGCTGAGGCAGAAGGATCACTCAAGCCCAGGAGTTTGAGGTTGCTGTGAGCTAGGCTGACGCCACGGTACTCACTCTAGCCTGGACAACAAAGTGAGACTCTGTCGCAAAAAAAAAAAAAAAAAATGCAGAGAAAGATTGTGACATGGCACAATGCTGATTAAAATAATGCTCTAGTCCTGGTAAA